GCCGTCTTTGGCACGCCCAACGACATTGAGTGCCCCTCATGGTCAAGATGCCTGGCGGCGGCAGGCCTCACCTTCAAGGAGTGGCGCGCAGCGGACTACCCTTCTTTCAGCGAGGTGCGGAAGGCCAAGGCAGCGGCGGCGGCTGCTGCTCTTGTTGCCCCTGTCGTCGTTGCTGCTGCGGCTGCAGACAAGACCGAGGTCAAGGTGACCGAGGTGGCGGTCGAGGTGAAGGAGGTCGTCGCTTAGGCGAAAAGGCAGGTGGATAAGGCGGAGCGTGTAGCTGACTCGATGATTCCCACGGCGTATGAAGTACTTAATGTCATGATATTCTACCACCCCTGTAAGCCCTGTGCAGATGAGGTTTTCGTCATAACAAGCTTCGAAGTTGCATGACACCGATGATCGCCTGCCGGACGATCCGATGCCTTAGTTTTTCACTGCCAGTATCACACCTTGAAAGACGCCTTCGTCGACTCATCGGAGAGCAATCGTTTGACCGTGGCCTCGGCTTGACGCGGGCATCCTGGAGGACCTAGCTTCGGCCGAGGGGCCAACGCACAGGCGCCTCAGCTGGAGACGAAGAGCAAGAAGAAAAAAACCGCGCGAAAATCACGCGAGGATTGACAAAAAGAGCAAGACGAGAAGGGGTGGGAGGGGGGCCTTGGATGCACTAGGGTGGAAAAAGGCAGAGGGAAAAAAAGGCTTCCAGGGGTGGTCGTCTGCGAAGTTCGGCGAGCAGACCAATGGCAGTGGACCCTGTCAGAAGCCAATTCCCGGGTGGGGTGGCACTGCATTGTGTGGCTTTGATCTAGCCATCTAATCTGATCATCTGATAAGCATCTGATAAGTCCAACCTGGCTGGGGACCAGGGGAGGGGGACCCTCCTTCCCCTGCCCCTCCGGCTCTCGGGTGCGCCTGCCTCGCGAGCTCATAGCTTGCCTAGCTCCTGCCTGTCAATGCTGTGTCGCTGCTGCTGTTGTATCCCGTCTTTAGCTGTAGCTATTACCGAGTGCTCCTGCTTTTTTTGGGCAAACAGCAGCAGCCGACTGAGCTTTTTTTTTTTTTTTTCTTTCTCCTTTTGGTTGTGACCCTTACTTCCACACCTGCGATCATCCTTGGCGAGATCATCCGTTCCTTGACCACATTTTCACCACCCATCGCCCCATCTCTTCATCAAGTGACATCTCCCGTGTCACCTCACTCCACACCATGGCTGCCGTCACCAGCGTCAAGAAGGGCGTCCTGTTCCTTCGCCTCGTCTATATCGCCATCGCCGCCCTGCTCGAACATCAGAAGCGCACGTGGGCCGCTGGCCGTCTTCAGAACCCTTCGACCTCCGCCAAAGATGTCGAGAATGATGCCGAACCCGAGAACATCGTCATTGTCGGGGCCTCCTTTGCCGGCTACCACGCTGCCCGTCTCATCGCCACCAGTCTCCCCCTCAACGGCCGCTACCGCATTGTCATAATTGAGCCCAAGCACCACTACCAGTTCACTTGGACTCTGCCCCGTTTCTGCGTCGTCGAGGGCCACGAGGACAAGACGTTCATTCCCCTGGGTCCCTACATCCCCGCCCCGGCCAAAGAGTTCGTTCGCTGGGTCCACGGCACCGCCGCCAGCATCAACCGCCAGACTGTCACCATTGAGGAGACGGGCGAGACCATTCCCTACAGCTACCTCGTCATTGCTACCGGCGCTGGCGTCGGTCTCACGCTGCCCTCGCGCGTCGGCGCCGTTGGAAAGAAGGAGGGCGCGCAGCTCCTGCGTGACATGCAACAGCGCATCAAGGCTTCCAAGAACCTTGTCGTCGTCGGAGGTGGCGCCGCCGGTGTCGAGCTCGCTACCGACGCGAAGCAGCTCTACCCCGAAAAGAAGGTCACGCTTGTGCACTCGCGCAGTGCCGTCATGCATCGTTTCGGCCCCGAGCTGCAGATCGCATCGCTCAAGGCCATGCAGGAGATGGGCATCGACGTCTTGCTGGAGGAGCGGACTGAGAGCGAGGATGTCAGTTCCGGGTTCGTGACGCTTCGTTCCGGAAAGAAAGTCGCGTGCGACTTCTGTGTGAGTGTTCCTGAGTTTCTGCTTGGTCTGTTCGCAGTTTCTGACCTTGCCCCCAGGTCAGCGCCGTCGGCCAGAAGCCTTCGTCGGGTCTGCTCAAGGACCTGGCCCCCAACGCCATCACCCCCTCCGGCCACATCCGCGTCAAGCCGACAATGCAGATTGACGACGACGCCCTCCCCAACATTTACGCCTGCGGTGACGTTATTGAGTTTGGCGTCAAGAACGCCAACGCCCGCGCAGCCATGAAGCAGGCCATGTATGCAGCAGACAACGTGACGCTCGCCCTCCGCGGCCAGCCGCCCAAGCACAAGTACAAGGTCAACTTTATGGATGGCGTCATTAAGCTGACCCTCGGTCTCGTACGTCATTAACGAACAGAACAGAGTGTTCTGCGACGGTTCTGGGAAACACGGCTGACATGAGGACAGGACAAATCTATCACACATTTTGGCGACGGCAAGACCGAGCTTCTTTTCCACAAGCAGGAGACTGATGAGACCCTCATGGTGGCCGATGTTTGGCGATTTATGGGCGCCACACCGTACGAGGACGACGATGACAAGAGCAAGCCCGCGGGGGCCGAGTCGACAGCCGACAAGACGAGAGAGATCACGAATGACCTCCCTTAGTTGGGGAGATGTTTCGAGCGTCGTTTTAGCATGATATTGACTAGACTTAATGGCTGGCAGCCGCGATATTTACTTGACTGCACCTAGAGACGTTTGATTGTACGAGGGTGCAAGGGAAATACACCCATTATTTTCAGAACACGGCCGTTCAAGAATCATTGCCACATGTGGATTCAGCGACATGCTCCCGTGGCCATTTAATATTTCAACCCATGATTGGACAAGACCGCCAACATCAAAAGCACAGGGCCTTCCATATGACAGCTCCTG